AAAATATTATCAAACAAATAGAATTTGTTATAAATATAAGGCAAAATGGTAACTTTTGCCTTTGTAGTAGACTCAATTTATCACTTTCACCCCTATCGTATTTTCGCATAAATTTAACCCTCGAAGTTGTTCAATTGCATCATTCTATATCTTACTTCTAACTTAAACCCTAAATTATAAATCTTAAGCCCTAACTCATAACTACATAACCTCTAGACCATAAACTCTAACCCTAAGCCTTACCTTATATTTATAATTTAGGGTTTTATGCTAGGGGTAATATATAAAATGATGCAATTAAACAACTTCAAGGGTTAAATTGATGTGAAAATACGTTAGAAACAAAAACGATAAATTGAATCTACTACAAAGACAAAAGTGACCCTTAAGCCTAAATATAATTAATGAACTAGTTGGAGTATCTGGGCCAGTGGCAAGGATGCTCCATTTCCAAGCTACGGATCTAGGTCTAATAATAGCAAATGTGTTTCATCTTCAATTTATTTTTAATCTAATCTGATCGTAACATGTGTCACCATTTAATCTAATAGAAAATAAATTTAATTAAATAAATTAAAATTAAAAAAAACCTTCCATCAAGTGCTGACATGCGTAAACTGTGATATTTTTCACGATCATATGTTGACATTTGTCACCTTCTGATTCAATGGTTAATTTATTAAATAAAATTAAAATTAGGACCAAATTGATTGAATGTACAAATATTAAGGATCAAAGTGTAATTATACCAATTGATTTACTATCACATCAACACTTTCATTGAATATTAAAGACAAGTGGCTTGATTGAAACCACATAAATAGTTATGCAGTCGTATTGACAAAATTAAAAGTATGTGGTCATGTCGACATCAACCTATAATTAATTGGTCATTTGAGTAATCTATTCTAAATTTAATGATCATTTTATAATTTTTAAATTTTAGTGACTAAAACATCATAAAACATAGTTTAGGGACTATTAGTGTACTTTACTCAATTACAAAGATGTGCATCTCACTTTTTTTAAATTTAATTTTATATATTTAATTATTTGTATTTAATATTAACCAAACGTTAGTGATAAAGTTGTTTAGTAAAATAAAGTCTTGATTAACACTATATGTTGAGTTTGATAAGAGAACAATTTTAATTTTCCTACCTTGTTAAATAGAAATAACAACTGACTTGATAAAAATAAATAAATAAAAAATACTAAAATGTGTCCTCAATATTAACATAATAGTTTTATTTTTTTAATCACTTTAGTCCTCAATATTTTTAGGTCAAAATAACACTCTTTCAAATTACAATTTTTATATGCTCAATTAATAATATATCACATTATCATTTTATTGACATGACATATTCACATCATTAATTAAATATATATATAAATATCACATCAATAACAAATTAAAATATTTTAATCAAAATTAAAATATTTAAAAAAAGTAAAATTAAAATAATTATTAAAACAAACATCAAAGATAAATTTTAACATTATATCTAAAAAAGAATATATATTCTTTTAATTGACTTAAACTTTAGAAAACATTATGGGAATATTTTATGATGTAATTTCTTTAAAATAATTGAGTTCTAAATGAGAAAAAAAATATTTATTCAAACTTTATTAAAAGTGGGTTGAGCCTTTAAAGTCCGAATGTCCGATGCCATGGACCCTATCCCCATAAAGGCATCATATTTAATCTCCACTTGGTATGAAATTTGAACTCACTTTCATGTACTACCAAAACAATGATTAAGATTCCTTTGTAATCACATACTAGATGACCTAATTAGAGGCATAATTAAATCTTCATTCTTATCCTCAAATAAATTTAAAATTTTTGCATGGGGACTTTTCTAAATAAAAAAAATAGAACCCCAAGTTGATCATAAATGTTAAAAGAATATCGTTCTTCTTAAAATTTTAAATTCTTATGTAATTTATATTTATATTTTTTTACTTCTACAGTTTTATAATTTTACACCCTTAAATTTTCGGGGTAAAGTACACAAATGGTCTCCCAACAATATGATACTACTTTTTTTAGTCCATTGACTATTAAAAATTATAAAATGGTCCCTTGACTATATGGAATTGCTTTGTTGAGTCCGTCGACTATTAAAAGTTATAAAATGATCACTCGACTATTCATTATGTTCCAAACTCGTCATTTTTCATTAAAATTTTGACGGTAGTCTAAGCTATACGCTAATCTGCTGACTGAGATATGATAAAATCTGATCTCATAGTCTTAAATGGCTATCATATTTTAGTCAACATGTTAACGTTCAACTTGGACGATCGTTAAATTTTTAATGAAAAAGACGAGTTTGGAATATAATGAATAGTCGAGTGTCCATTTTGTAACTTTTAATAGTTGAGGGAATTGACAAATCAATTAGGGATCATTTTATAACTTTTAATAGTTAAAGGATTCAATAAAATAATATCTTATAGTCGAGGGACCATACCCAAATTTTTGATACAACTTCTTAAAAATTCATGATCATTAATCCCTTGTCTCTATTTACATTAAGGAATGAAGAATAAAATAACAAGAAATTTAATGTATTAAATTTCAACAATTTTGATGTCTTTTTCTTTCGGTAGTTAGCTCATACAATTGCAACAGTATCTTATTTTACTTTTATCATATTTTATCCCACATTTCTTTTTCATTTGGGTAACATATAGATTTGAAAATTTATCGTTTAATATATCTTTGGGTAAACTATGTGTTTAGTACTTAAACTATCAGTTTTGGTCCGTTTTAGTACTTAAACTTTCATTTTTTTTCAAAATCATACATAAATTTTTGTTTCATTTTAGTACATTGCCGTTAAAAACTTTAGTTTTTGTTTCATTTTAATATCTCATTCAAAATTTAACGTTTAGTTTGGGGGGAAATTGAAATTTTAGGTACTAAATCGGACTAAAAATGATAATTTAAGTACTAAACGCATTAAGATTTTAATGGCATCGTACTAAAATGAAATAAAAACTAAACGTTAGGTATAATTTTGAATAAATATTAAAAGTTTATGTAGTAAAATGGACTGAAAGTAATAGTTTAGATGCTAAATGTGTAGTTTACCCTATATGTTTTTGTGGTAAATGGATATTATCTATAAGAATTGATCTTTTTTTAACATTATTAATAATTTTCTTTCACTCTAGAAGGGTTTAATAAATAGCAATTTACTATTGACATGTATAACATTAAATTCATCTTAATTATTGAACTTTAGGTAAATATACATTCTGGTACATCAATTTGACTTAAGGTTCAATTAGATACCTAACTATTTTTAATCTGATTTTGGGGATCTAAATTTTATTTTTTTGGATTCAAATTAGTACATGAACTCAGATTCATGGTTAAAATAAGTCGTTTACTATAAGTATCAATTTTGATTAAAAAGTTAGATTAAAGTATTGGTTTGAACCTAAAAGTTAAATTTAAATAGTTTAAAGTACCTAATTAAACCAAAAAAAGCTTAAGGTACCAAATTGGACTTTAGAACTAAGTTCGATTACCAAAATGTAAATTTATACTCATTTTCGCGGGGGGAGAGGCAAAGACGACCTTTGGTTGTTTCAAAAGGTTATATTTATCTAGAATAAGCAATCGTTTTCATCTATATTTCCTACCACCAAATAATGTTACACATATAATATATTTTACCAAAATAAAATATTATATAAAAGATATAGGGTAAACAATGTGTTTAGTATATAAATTATCAGTTTTGATTTGTTTCAGTACCTAAACTTTTAATTTTTTCAAAACCATGCCTAATGTTTAATTTTAATTTCATTTTAGTACATGTTGTAAAAACTTAACGCTTTTAGTACCTAAACTATCAATTTTGATTTGTTTTAGTACATAAACTTTCAAAAAAAATTTCAAAACTTAACATTAAATTTTGAACGGAGCATTAAAATGAAACAAAAACTAAAGTTTGTAACGACGGGTACTAAAATGAAATAAAAACTAAACTTTAGATATAGTTTTGAAAAAAATGAAAATTTAAGTACTAAAATAGATCAAAACTTGTAGTTTAGGTACTAAACACATAATTTACCCAATGATATAAGATAAAGGACCTTAAAGATTATTGAATTATACTCAAATAATTATTTTGATTTTTAAAAAATTATAAAATAATCATTAAATTTATCAATTTTTTATAGTTATAATTTTATAACAATTTAATAAATTTAATATATCTTTTATAACAAGAACCAAATTACCTTAGCGGTTAAAGGAATGTTTGTTATTTCTAGAGGTCTCGGGTTTGAGCACCAGCAATTGCAACATGAGTGGTTGAGCATTTTTTGTCAAACGATTGTATGAGAGTATTTAGAAGATATATTACTCTATAATCACCGTAGCTTAATAAAAAAAAACTTTTATAAATTTTAATGGTCAAAATCATCATTTAATAATAAGGGTAAACTATGCAAATAGTCCCCTATGTTTAGGGTTTGATCAACTTTGGTCACCAATTTAAAATTAAGGGGAAATAGTCCCTAACGTTATTGATCCATTTGATTTTTGTCCCTCTGCCATTAATTTTCATTAACCCCTTTTGTTTAAGTCTCTAACAAGGATGAGGGACTAAAATCAAACGGATCAATAATTTTAGTGACTATAATCGAACGAATCGATAACGTTAGGGATTATTCCCCTTAATTTTTAAATTGGTGATCAAAGCCGGTCAAACAAGAAACGTAAGGGACTATCTGCATAGTTTACCCTAATAATAATTCAATGACTTCTAGTATACTTTACCAAAAGTATAATATTATAAGAAAAAGTAATATATGGCTTATTTTTTAAAATAAAATACTTGGCAATATTACAACTTTGCTTACACGAAATTGTAGTATATAAATGGAGCCCTATAAGAGTAAACAGATAAAGACTCGAAGAAAGTAAATATAAAGAGAGAAAAAAAAGTACTTTCTGAAGAGCTTTTGCAAAAATGGTGCTTCAAAGATTGGAGATCTGCGTGCAGTTGATGAAATTGGCCGTCGAATTCGTCATGACGGTGGCTGAATCAATCGGCGTAGTTATTCATCAAAACGAATCGCCGGCGGTGGTGACGACTAGCCGGTCTTTTGCTTCTCCGATTCCCTTGGTTGGGTTTCTTCCTTGAGATCGATCGATTTAAAATTTTCGAGTTTTTTTTTCGTTGGAGAAGCGATGATCGTTCCGGATCTTTTGTAATTTTGTTGTTTTCTTTACTGGCTACGTTTTGGGGATTTGGGCGTGTAAATTTAGGGTATGAATCATGATGCTTTTGCTAAGAGAAGAAAATTTTCTATTTGAATCTCTTCAATTATGATGTTTTTGTGTGTGAATTTTATCTTTTAAGAGTTGAAGATGGATGGATTTTAAGGGGATTCACTGACTTTGATTCTGGCCGGAGATGGTGATCGGAGAGGTGGCGGCAGTGGAATCAAGGATTGAGGTGGTATCGGGTGTTTTAGTGATTTAATTGATAGATCTTAGAAAGTTTAGGTATCAAAATAAAAAATTAATTATTTTATTTAAAATAAAAATTAGGGTAAATTATACGTTTATGTCTAAACTATCAGTTTTGATCCATTTTAACACTTAAACTTTCAATTTTTTTTAAAATCATATTTAAACCTGTAGTTAAAAACTTTAGTTTTTATTTCATTTTAGTATTTCGTTTAAAATATAAAGTTAAATTTTCAAAAATTGAAAATTTATGTACTAAAATAAATGATTTAGGTATTAATCGCGTTAAGTTTTTAATAACAGGTACTGAAATGAAAATGTTAATATTAAAATAGATCAAAATAGATGGTTTAAGTACTAAATGCGTAGTTTGTTTAGAGTGAACTTTAGTGATTAAATAAGAAGAAATCAAATACAAGTGATTTATGGTGTAGTTCACCCAAAATAAGAAAATTGTTTAGGATAAGGAATTGGAACTGAAGATAAGATTGGGGGGAAAGAGATGTTAACGTATGCTTAGTCAGCAACCCTATTGCTTTTTCGAACAAATTGACCCTTAAAATAATATGAAGTAGGCTTTATTTATTTATTGGGTAAATTACAAATTTCACCGGAACTTTAAAAGTTTTCATATTATTCATTAAACTTAATACATTAGATTTTTTTGTCACTGAATTTTACTATCTTTCATATTTTGATCACTCATCCGTTAAATATTTAACGATGTTAAAAATAATACCCTTTTTTTAAAATAAAGTTTTCACCAAAACGACGTCGTTTTGTATCTATATAACAACCCATTTTAACGTCGTTAACTATTTAACGGCCGAATGACAAAAAAAAACTCAATGTATTATATTCAGTAATGAAATTTAAAAGGTTTAAAGTACAATAAGTGAAATAGGAGAAAATAAAATTCAATTACCAAATTTGTAATTTACTCTTATTTTCTAAAAAAATATAATAACATAAGAAGTAAATTTTATTTATTTTTTTAACAAAGTATAATGTTAAAATTTACTTTAATGGTCGAGTAATAGTCACTTTAGTTTTTATATATTTTTAAAAATTCTAGCTCTTAATATTTAAATTTTTATTAAAATAATTCATATTAAATGAAAATAATTAATTAACTGATGATATTTTTACATATATTTAATTGAATGATATGATATGTATCATGTTATTATTTTAATGACATGACATATATTATATCATCACTTTGATTATGTGATATATGACATGTCAGTAATATTTAAGCGCATATAGAAATATTAAGTCTGCAACATGCATTTATTGCTATTCAATTAATGATTTTTTATCGAACATAAAATATTTTGATAAAAATTAAAATATTGAAAGTTGAAATGCTCCAAAAAAAATAATATAAATCAAAATTATCATCTAGAAAATTATTTAGGGCTAATTTTGTTATTATGCCTTTTTAGAAACTAACTTGTTAACCACAAGTGTTGTTTTGTGTTACATTTCAAACTTAAGAAGGCAATTTGAATTAACTTACTAAAATCAGGGGGCAACTCGATTGAAAAAAAAACTTCATGGACCAATTTAACGTAAAAAGAGGTTCATGAGTTACTTGATCAAAGTTACCAATCTTAAGGGTGATTTTTGTTTTAAAACCCTTATAATTAACTTTACATAAAAATAAGGTTTAATATAAAAAAATGTTCAAATTATATTCATGCATTTAAACTATTTCTCAATTAATTTAGGCCCTTATTGTTTCAAATATTATACTTTTAGGTACTTAAACTGTCAAGGCCGTTAAATTTCATCATTAATGGTATGTGTTGCATTCATAAAATTTTAAAATTTTTATTTAAAAAATAAAATCTCCTAAAATCTTAATTCCAAACACTTTACTACAGTCAACCTCACCAATCAATCAGAATTCCAATAGCGTGTGATCGACATATAACGGTTGAAACCTCATACTCCAACCTTTAATTGCAACGAAAATCGATGATCGCAAAGTCTTGCATTTACACAATAGTTGAGTGCTCGGTCGGTTATGTAAGTAAGGAGTTTTAGTCATTGGGTGGTTGGTCGGTCACATGTCGTTGGGTGTTCGATCGATTGACGGCATTGGAGACTAGCGATTGTGGCAAAGGGATTAAGAATAGGGTTTTAAAATATTTTGAGTTTCCTTTAGTATTTTTTATAAAATTTTGGTTTTCTAAATATCATTTTAAATTTTAATTTAAATAATATTTTAGGGTAAAATACATAAATAGTGCCTAAACTATTGATTTTAGTCCGTTTTAGTACTTAAACTTTCATTTTTTTCAAAATTATACCTAACGTTTAGTTTTATTTCATTTTAGTACACGTCGTTAAAAACTTAATACATTTAGTACCTAAACTATCAATTTTGACCCATTTTAGTACCTAAACTTTCAATTTTTTTCAAAACTTAACATTAAATTTTGAATGTGAGTACTAAAATGAAACAAAAACGAAACTTTAAATATGATCTTAAAAAAATTGAAAGGTTAGGTACTAAAATAAACTAAAACTAATAGTTTAAGTATTAAACGCGTAATTAAGCTTGAATTATTTTATACCCTACTCCTATCGTAAAACCTTGAATTGTTAAGCTTAAGTTATAGTTAGGGTTCATGGTTCAAAGTTTATAGGGTTATGATTTATAGTTTAAGGTTTTAAGTTAGGAGTAAGGTATATAATGATACAATTGAACAACTTCAAGGACTAAATTGATGCGAAAATTATATAAGGACAAAAGTGATAAATTAAGTCTACTATAGGATAAAAGGTACCATTTTGCCATGAAAAAATATATATAGTTTGAGACCTAAATTTTATACTGAGCATAAAAATATTGTCCAGGCCCGGTACAAGGCTCACTGATGATCCCAAAGTCCAAGGTGAAAACTCCTATGAAAGAACCAAAAACAAAACCAAAAAAACGAAAACAAAACATTCTATCTGCCATGTTTTCCCAGCAGAACAACAACCTCAGGAGTTCCGATTACTCTATTCTAAAATGTTGTTCGATCCCTTCAAATCACTGCTCATTTACATGGCCATGATAATAATCTTTTTTGCATTGGTCGTTTTCATATGCAACGGTATCAGAAAAAGAAATCCCAAGTCCAGCGACGGCAAAGCGACGACAACGATAACGACAGCGACCCCGAGTTTGTTGTTGGAAGTCAAGGTTATGCTCCCGATAAAGGTGATATTCGGGGATGTCACGGTTGCAAAAAGATTTGATCCGACCGAGCTGGCTCATATACCGAAGACTAGGCTTGGTGAAGGTACTCTAGGGACATTGTTTAAGGTCGTCCTCGGGTGCGGTTTGGTCGTGACGATTCGGAAGATCCGAGAAGGGCTGACGGTGAGCGCCGTTGCACTTGAGATGTGGGTCAATTTCTTCGGAGGAATGAAGGACGATGGACTGTTGCTGCCTATACATTTCAGCTTTTGGTACGGCGGAGAGGCTTTCATCTTGTATGAGTATTTGATCTTGGGGAGTTTGGAAGAGCTTTTACATGGTAAGCTATGATTTCTTCACATGCACATATACATAAATATTCAATTTGCTGAATTAAACCTTATATATATAAAAGTGTAAAGTAAACAAATGACACATCGACTATAATGTTTTATTGAGTCAATTGACTATCAAAAGTTATAAAGTGATCCCTCGATTATAGAGAGTTGCTTTGTTGAGTCACTCAACTATTAAAAGTTACAAAATGGCCACTAGACTATTCATTACGTTCCAAACTTGTCATTTTCCATTAAAAATTTAACGTTCATCTGAGTTGAATGTTAACATGTTGACTGAGAGATGATATTTATTTGAGATTATGAGATCATATTTTATCATATCTCGGTCATCAATTTAACGTACAACTCAGATTGTCGTCAAAATTTTAATTGAAAATGACGATTTTAGAACATAATTAATATACATGTGACCATTTTGTAACTTCTAATAGTTGAAGGACTCAACAAATCAACTTCCCATAGTCGAGGGTCATTTTTATAACTTTTAATAGTCAAAGGACTTAATAAAGCATTATCATATAGTTAAGGGACTCAATAAAATATTATCATATAATTAAGGGACTCGATAAAACATTATCCTATTGTCAAAGGACATTTTTATACTTAACCCTATTTATAAATATGTACATCCTATCCAAGATTTAACTCGATTTTTGAGATAAAAAATTAAACTTGATTCGATTTGACTAGGGATGGCAAACAGGTGGGTCGGGTGCGGATACCCCCTCCCCCATCCTCATACCCACCTAATATTTTTTTAATCTACCACCCGCCCACTACCCATGATGGGTACAAATTTTCAAATCCACACCCGCCCACACAGGTACATTTTCAAATCCATCCCTACACCCACTAGCGACATATCCATCTAGACCCGCCTGACAGCAAACTAATGGGATGTTGGAGTTGGTTCCCAGACAGTTCGTGATAGGGTAGCAACGCATGCTTCAATTTGTCAGAGGAGTGGCTCTATGAATGTTATGGAGACAGATTGTAGGGAGCATGTAGTCGCAGAACTGGATTGTTGAGTTGCTTTCGATGTTAATGCTCATAGTGCGCCTAATATGGGTTTTGAGGAGCTAAAAAACATGGAAATTGCTGCTTTTGATGTTAATGCATATAGTACGGTTAATTTGTGTTTGGATGGGCAGCATGGGCTAAAGAACATGGAAAGTGACGTGGTTAGTGGGATTATGGGTTTAATCAAAGAGCTGAATATTTCCCTAATTAAAGACCAGATTAAAGACTAAATATCCTTAATATTTGGTTAAATTATATGTTATATATTATACAATATTAAAATTTATAAATTAGTCTCTAAAATTACACCTAAATTCATAATGGTCCAAAATTTAATAGATATTTAGTTGGGCAGGCGGATGCGGGGCGGGTAATGTCTCAAACCCATTACCCGCCCACCACCCACGACGGGTACCACTTTATAAATCCACACCCGCCCACTACCCGCTAAAATTATACCCATCCCCGCTCCAATTGGAGCGAATGCGGTGTGGAATCCACGAAAATGTACCCGTTTGCCATCCCTAGATTTGACTCAGCGCGCGCGCGCGCACACACACACACACACATATATATATATATATATCATATTTATCATGATAGAGATCTAATTGGGAAAAGTATAGATAGAGAGATATTATAAAATTTATCCATGAATATATAAATATTAATTATACTACTATTCTCATGTCGGTTTGGATATTTTTACCTTAAATCCGACCCAATCATATAATTAAAAAACAACTCGATCTTATAAGGTTAAGTCTATCCACCAGATTCAAGTCAAATGCGTTCATACCTACCGGTTATAGTAAAATTTTTCTTTATCTATAATTTTTTTTTAAAAAGAATTTCCACATAAATCTTTATATTCTTTATCTTTATTATTATTTCTCATTTAGAACTGAAATTATTTCATTTTTATTTAAATGTGTAGGCAGTGAAGGGATTCAATTCACTCCATTGAAATGGGGCATCAGAAAAAGGATAGCATTATACGCAGCCCAAGCAGTAGCTCTAATCCACAGCCGAGTGACTCATGATGTCGAACCACTCATATGTGGTGTGATCAAGGCCTCCAACATCCTCATCCGAGTCGATTTCTCAGCGTGCCTCTCGAGCTACGAGACGCCGTATCTTGTGCCTCCGGAAACGATCGTCAAACGAAACCCGGGTCGAGTGGCGCCCGAGCTCAAGGGTCGTCACCCTAAGACGTTCACTCGAAAGTCCGACGTTTACAGCTTCGGGGTGCTCCTGTTGGAGCTGGTCACCGGGGAAAGGCCCTCGATGACCAACCTGAGGGCGTACGTGTTCGAGAGGAAAGTGAAGTGGGGATTGAGCAGTGTATACGATAAGAAAATGGGTGATCTGGTGAATGAAAACTTGGCAGGGATGATTGAAATTGCAAGGGCTTGCTTGTTGTGTAAGCCACAAGGTAGGCCTTCCATGGAGGATGTGGTCCGGATGATCAAAGCATTGTGAGTGGGGAAAAATTAGTTGTTTTTTCCACACTTTTGTGATAGAAGAGACTGTACATGTAAATCAAGATACATTGTCATGTATCTAAATGTTATAAGATCATAATAAAATGAGTAATAAACAAAGTGAAACATCTTAATCGATTTTTTTTAATTGATATCGTATGAACTAGGTGGTTAAAGGGACGATTGTTATCTCTAGATGCATCGAATTCGAGTACCAATGGACTACAGAGTATTTGAGAGTTCATTATCAAATGATTGAGAGTCTCTAGAATAGATACTACCCCTTGTAATTACTCGAGATTAATAAAAAAAATATTTCAAATATTTCAAATATATTTTAAATACTTATGTTACCTTTGTGGTCAAAGAGTGGTTGTTATCAGGGTTGTGGCTAGGTTGTTGGAGGTCCTGTACAAATTCTTGTAAAGGGACCCTTATATCTCGAACTTATTTTTCTGAAATAATAAATGACTAATTTTATTAACTTCAAAAACTTATAGATATAATTTATTTTGGGGCCTCTGTGTAAATTTGAACTTGTTTTTCCCAAAAATAATTTTGCTTGTTAACGAGATTCGAACTTAGGATCAACAAAGTCATGAGTTCAATGATTTAACCACTGTTATATACCTATTTTCTGCTTCTTAATGGCAACAACTGATAGATATACTCTATTTCGGGGCCCTGTTTTTTGAGGCTCTGCGCCGTCGCACACTTAGCGCATGTTCAGCCACGCCCCTGGTTGTTATTTCTAGAAATTTCGAATTCAAGCACATCGTATATCAGGGGTGTTTGAGCGTTTATTGTCAAATGTGTTGAAACTCTTTCAAACTGATTCTACTAGGGGTGTGCAAATTCGAATATCCAAATATCCGATCCGAATATATCACTTATTTTGGGGTTGAACTTCTAATCAGCTGCTATATTTTCGGTTTTTTAATAGACTTCAGATTAGTTTATTGCTTTTCTACCTTACGGCCCTGATATACTGAAGAAGACTCGAAGCTTAAGGACTACAATTACATAGAGAATATGGAACTGGGCTACTAGGTTTGGGGCTAAAGGCCCGTCTATTTTTCAAATTTTCGGATAATCCGAAATAAAGATTTTATTGATCCGTATCCGATTATCTGAAATTTTTAGCGGATTTCCGATCCTAATTATAGAAAAAAAATTGAATCGAATCACCAGATAAACGGATCGGATATTTTTGCACACCTAGATTCTACCTTGTAATCACCCTTAGATTAATAAAAAAAATTGTTCATTTTATAAATACATTTATATTTATAATTTAATCCATGTGTCTTTAAGACTTGGGTAAATTTTGATTTTAGTATCTAAACTATCAGTTTTGATCCGTTTTAGTACCTAAAGTTTCATTTTTTTTAAATCATACCTAAAGTTTAGTTTTTGTTTCATTTTAGTACTCATGTTCAAAATTTAACATTAAATTTTGAAAAAAACTTGAAAGTTTAAGTACTAAAATGGACCAAAATTCTGCCAACTCAATTTGCCAAGCCATGATGGTACAGTCGTATTGGTTGATGAAACCGGAAAAGAATACGGGATCAATTTTCGCGTTCGAAGGACAGCATTGAGCGGCGGGTGGAAGAAGTTTTCCAAAGAACATGGTTTACTCGTCGGAGATGCTGTAGTTTCCAGTTGATCAGGCCTTCCAAGTTCAAGGTATTGTCTCATACTTTTTACCCCATTGTTGCATATGACAATTAATGGATGAAAGTTCATGGAGAAACATATTGTGTCAAATTTGCAGGTATATATAGTGAGAATCAATGGCTTAGCCGAAATAGATGCAGCTCTTGCCCTACATAGATTACAGAGCTGGTCCAGTGAAGAAAACCAGTAGGAGGATGGCGGTTCGGATGTCAGATCCGGTGAAGAAAAGGCCGAATTCGAACGATCTAGAGGTACTAAGAAGTTCACTATTCTTGTCGAATGGTTCGGAGTAAATATTGATATCGTTAACATTGCAGATGCCATTAGAGCTTACAAGATTTCCACCCCACGAGCTGATTTTACAAGATGCCATTAGAACATTTCGATCGGCCTCGAGCTTCGGGCCGTTGATGGCGGTTTGCATCATCTACAGAGCCTTACATTTGAATCAAAACAGGAAGTGAAATCAAGGAGGACTCTAGAATTGGAGCTTTTGGGGGAAAAAGAGGAAATGCAAAGGCTTGATGCCGAAATAGAGGGCTTGACAGTGAATTCTAAGAGGTATAAACTGATGTTTGAGGCAGCTGCTAATGCTCCATGGTGATGACTATGATGAGAAACATTAACCGGTACACCAACCATCCATCATTCCATAGATCATATAGGAAATATTAACTGATACATCAACCATCCATCATTCCATTGATCATATAGGAAATATTAACTGATGCATCATACATCAATCATCCATCATTCCATAGATCATATATACATCAACCATCCATCATTCTATAGATCATATAGGAAATATTAACTGATACATCAACCATCCATCATTCCATAGATCATATGGAAATATTAACTGATACATCAACCATCCATCATTCTATAGATCATATAGGAAATATTAACTGATACTTGTCTTCTCTTTGTTTCTTAGCATGGGGAATTACTATTAGGTAGGTGATCAATGCACAAGATGAACTTCATAGTTCTTGGAAAATTGATAGTTCTTTCAAACCGTATTCAATTCATAGTCTAGGCTTTGGTGCTTTAATCACATGAATGTTCTTCAACCTTTACAACAAACACAAATCAATTAGGGGATACAAATACGGACGGGTACAGGACGGGTACGGGATTTTATGTTAGGAATGGATTTATAAAATTTTAGAGGAATGAAAACAGATTATCAATAGAATGTGTAGCAATGCTTTTTCATGCTCTGTTTTATTTCAATCGTGATGGGGCTCGATGTATGCCGTAACCATCGGCGTATCGCTACCGGCCGGATGAATTTCAACGTGTGCATGGTATCCGAGACGATATTTATCCATGCTCTGTTTTCCTCGTATTTCGAGATTGATTTTAATTTGTTCATATTGAATATGTTGATCGACGATGTCGGTGTAAACCTGCAATGGAAGTTGATAAATTAAATTCATTATGTCAAGATTGATGGTAATTTGACCCAAATTTGATTGGTTCTGATCTAATGTAATCCATTAACCCAATCTAAGATAATAATATAGTTTTAGCCCTCTCTCTATTTTTTCAATTAGGTCTATTTTTATCAAATAAAAATAATATATATATATATATATATATATATATATTTGTATCATGATAATTGCTATAATACTCTTCTATTTATGTTTTCTTTGATTAGATTTTTATTTTATCTAATAAAAATGAAAATTATATATATATATATATGTTGGGTCGGATTGATTGTAGGTTTCTATTAGGGATGGGCACGGGGGCGGGGCGGATCGGTTTTTTAGTCGCGCCAACCCTAACCCAAAAATATATAACTTATACCCGACCCGTCCCACACCGATAATTTTTAATTTTTCTCCTGCCCCAAACATTTCTCAATTTTAGAGTAAAAATCCAAACCCCAACTTAACCCAAATATATTAATATTTTAAAATAATTAAATTAATATATTTTATAATAATATATTTATAATAATAATTTACTGTATTTTAATAATCAAATAACATATTTTAACACTATAAAAATAAAAATATTTAAAATACCATATATATATATATATATATATTAAGGTTTATACCGGGTTGGGTAGGTGATTTTTTACCTTATGTCTAGCAACCCGTTTCAACCCTCCTCGAATCTTGAAATTTCAAAAAAGTAAAAGAAAATCACCCCTATAGGGTCGGGTTCGGGTATTTTGATCATTCTTGATTTCTATATTGAAATCGGGTCAAATGGATCATCCTTAAATTTAATAAGATTGGATGACGAGTGAAATGTTATACTCAAATCGGGTTCGAATAGACTAAAAATCTGACCCGACTTGACCTAGGGTCATGCTAAATTCATCTGGTGATATATATTTAAGGATCGAGTAAAACATACATGTATATATATGTACCTTGTTGGTTTCTTGAGAAAGATTGCTCCAGGCAACGATCCACTTCTTGCCATGATCCAGATGGTAGAGAAGGCAAGCCTTGGAACCCAGGGCGTCCTTTTCTTCGGCGCATTCGCTCTGCGCGTGCGTAAAATCGGCCTCGTCTCCATTCATAATGTTTCTGGGGAAATCTGTGTAACTAAAGCCTTTCCAAACTCGGTTGCCCCTCAAGGACAGAGCCTTTGCACAATAGTTTTGAAGCTTCCCCAATGTGTACGTTTTAGCAACCCAGGATCCCATTTTTCTTTGTATTTTGTGCAGTGTTTTTCACACCTTATTTATACACATGAGTGAAGTGATTGAACATAATTTCTGGGTAGTTAGTGTGTGAATCCAGGGTTACTTGCCATGTTGTCAAATTGTTGAAAATAATGTTTTTTTTTGTTGTTGACATTGGGAAGGTTTATTGTAAAATGTCACATGGAATTGGGGTTTACATGAAGTCATACGCAAACACTTCTAAGCACGTTGTTTATTAAACACGACCACTATCCATGACTCCATGTGACTTAAATTTTTAGTTGACACAGCATCTACATGAATTAGCCATATTATTTAGGTTGAAGTTCAAAGCATGGAGATGCTTAGATGAAGAAGAAGATAGCTAGGAGCATGCATGTCTTAAATGATGTGTAGACCTTGTGTTACTTTTTAAAACGAATCCCCTAAAATAAAGATTTATTTGTCAAATTTGAAATTATGAAAGATTTACGGAATTTTCTTACCAAAATTCATAATAAAAAACAATTAAAGATGTTGTCAAAATCTTTGTTTACAACTTTTTCTATCATTTTTCAAAAAACCAAAAGAAAAGTTTGTTTCCCCTTCGAATTAAAATGCCATTAGAGAACAAATGTTGTACATGGACGCGGCTAAGTGACACCATATGTAGGAATTCTAAATTTTGAGGCCACATATCGCATGTTACACTTGACATTGGATGGGCCTAGTTAGGAGCATCAAGCTGTAATTCAGAAGTTATCAAGTACAGAGAGGAGGAGGAGTTAGTTGAGAAGTTGTTGTTACTAGATGGGAGATGAATGAGAGAGATAATTCATGGCGTAGCTAAACAAGACGAGAATAGTGTAGATGGCGGTACGAGTGAAGAGCTCGGTGATAGAGAGTTTGGTTCTTTGGTGGGTATGATGGTGAAGAAGACGTTATTGGTCATCTTTCATAATGATTTTCTTGGTTAAGTTTTGACGAGGCATGAAACTGAAACTGAATAGGTGTCAGATCAATATGAAGTCCTACAAGCTCCCCAGTATGACAATTAACAATCAAGGTAAGTTTTTCGTCACCCACGTTAACGATTTATTAACATTAAGTGGTCAATTTATTATAAAACAACAATAATGACTAATTCATTAGTTTTAAAACTTTAGTGGAAAAAATAAAAAACTATTCGAACATAAACATTTATTGTAGTTTACCTTAAAAATAATTAAATAATTAAAACAAAGCAAAAAGATATCAGATGTTCTTGTACTTTTGGGAAAAAAAATTAATGTAGTCCTCTTATTATTTTTTCTCTCAATGTAGCCCTCTGACCAATGTTTTCCGTAATTAATCGTTACGGTGTTGATGTGTCGATTCACAATAATGATATGATCATCAATCTGTCATGTTTAAGTTACCAATTCAACTCATCTATCATATCATCTATCACATCATCAACCACAATGAATTATCACGTCAACATCGTAAACTGTCACGTCAACACTATAAATTGTTACGTCAGTATCATATCGGTCAATGACGAAAAATATTAATCGAAAGACCACTTACGATTTATTTTCTGAGTTAGAGTCATATTAAGACAAAAAAATGTTACGAGTAACACGTTAATTTTTTTAAAAAGTAGAGACTTTTTATGGTTTTTTTACCTAGAAAACAACCATATTAATTTATCCTTGATGTCTGTTCTCAAAACTAATCCACTAAATTTCAGTTAATCGATTTTCAGGATTCCTGAACAATCGAAATAATGTCTTAGAAAACCAAAGACGAACCCTGTAATGAAAATCTCGACGACGGTAAATCAAATTCTAGCTTTAACCCATCAGATCATCACTTATAAGAAATCACAGTGATTCCCTTTTCTTACCGTCAGGAACAAAGCCAAGAACTTGGAGAGAGAAAAACCAAAAAATCCTGAAACCAAACACCCAAAGCTTAAAAAAACAGTACCAGGTTCGTAACTTTCTCCAGTTTCAAGACAGAGGAGCCTCGGATTTCTGTGAATCTGTTTGTCCTGAGCAAAGATTGTCCCACAGGTGAAAGTCAATGAGAACGAAGACAGAGGAGCCTCGGATTTCTGAAATGTCGTTGGATCCTCCTGATAATGCTAACCCACAAGTAAGAACACCTTGTTTCCGACACGATTTCTTCACTTGTCGATGTGAGATCAGCGCCGAATGTTGTTTCCCTGTTTAGGTTATGTAAGAATTGTTCAGGTTTGGGGTTTCCGAATTGTTTTTTTTTTAGCTAGGGATCTCAATGAACCCGATATCAGGGTTATCTGTCCGATATCAGGACTCTCCGAGGAACAACCCTAGCTCGGGTTAGCTTTAGATTTAAGTAGTTTGTTCGTAGTACTAAATTGCTGTCCCAGATGTTGCGGACGTTATGTTGTGATTTGTTTGCTAGAACGGATGCGGTAATACTATGAGTTTGTTGTTGTAGAAACCAGACAGGATCGAAGATCTTTCCTAGGATGTGTCAAAGCACTTTAGTTGATCTAATGTAGATGATGTCATTGACATCAATGGCAACTCCAGTCTCCTGCTGGTTCCCAATTTGCCGTTTCCTGAGTTTCCAATAGGTTTTCCTTTTCTCATTAGATTGTCGGATAACAGCGTTGGCGTTGTGAGCTCAGCCGGAACCTCAGGGTTAATGAACATTTTTTATAGTTTCCACACTTCGTATGGATTCTCGGTTAGGATTAGTTATATCGTTTCAAGTCTCAGTTAGGATTTATGGCTTGTGTTAGTTTCTCATGAAATGCTGCAAATAAAAGAAATCTAAAGGTGTTTATCTTTGATCATATCAAGCCTAATGTTAAGGAGCAAGTGGAGGATCTTCAAGCAAATATAGCCGGCAGATTCCCGAGTTGTACGAAAACCATGGTTCGCTCGAACGTTACCCATGGATTTTGGCTGGTAAGCTCAAAATATGTTTACAAATCGATTCGGAATGATACCGATTGTTCCGGAAAGCTTTATATGTTTGAAGTTCTAACCCTTTAGTCCTATGGTGACAGCATCTTCCTATGCCTTTCTGCAAATTGCATATGCCCAAGCAAGATACAACAGTAATTTTGGAAGATGAAAATGGGGAAGAATATAAAGCATCTTATATTGCACAAAGGACGGCATTGAGTGCCGGATGGAAAGCATTCTCGTCTAATCATAAACTCGTCGAAGGGGATGTTCTAGTTTTCCATTTGGTCACTTCTTCAAAGTTTAAGGTATTATTCGATTTATTTCTCTCATATTTGTATGAAGACTTCCCTATATTACCATCTCAAACGAATTTGCTTCCATTACGTTCTTGTAGGTTTACATAGTCAGAGCATTCAAAGCAAACGGAGTCGATAGTTCTTTTGTTTCACTAGATGTGAATATTCATGCGAAACCGATTCGCTCGAGTATGTTCTCTTTAAACTTCTTGTTCCTTCTTTTCCCTTTTAATAAGTTGAAAGCTCCCTAACATTGTTGTTCCGATCGTGTCCACTGTTTTCCCGGGAATGTTGAACTTGAAACAATGATAAAAGTCCGCACAAAACGGACAAAGAGACCCTCTAAGAAGGCCAAGTGTTTGGATCGTTTTCCACTTGACCCTCCAGATGACAATGTTGAAAATAACAGCCTGATGGTATTGGACTCCACTAGCGAGCCTTTTGTCTATCGCAAGGATCGTTGCTCTGGTCTCGATGATGGTATCGAATCTTTGGCATCTGTTATTGATTTTAAAGAGGTCAAAAGCATGGGCAGCTTCATCGTTATAGTGAATGGTTCGAGAATAGACTCCGAGCTCTCGGAGTACCATAGAACTAAGTACTACGAGCTTTGTTCCAGCCAGAACTCGTTTCTCCATGATAATCTTCTAAAGAGTATTACTGGTAAATTAGCAGCTGAAATAATAATAGAGACAGTTAGCATTGCAGAGGCTATTAGAGCCTGCAAAATTTCCACCTCTCGAGCCGATTATATGCTCTGGGACAAGACCCTGAAAGGCTTCGAGCTGTTAGGCATGAATGTCGGGTTTCTTCGAGCCAGATTGAACCGGCTGGATACCCTCGCCTCGGAATTACAGGAGGCTACAGATACGGAGAAGTATGAAGCAAGTCCTGAGCATACTCGCATGAAAGAAGAGAAAAAATCCCTCGAACTGAAGCTTGCGAAACTCAAAGAGGTTACGCGTGAGCTTGATGCCGAGATAGAAACCCTGAAGGCAAATGCCGAGAAGTATGAGCTCATGTTCCAGGAAGAGGTTACCGCCACATGGTGATCATCAGCATCGGCGGCGGCTTTCCTCATCGTTTTAAAGTTTTTCCAAAGAGATATAGTTCAATGTCCTCCATGATATATAAATGTGTATCAGTCCATGTGAACTTATATAGGGAAGTTGTTGTAAAAATAGTTTAAGTTTCTATTTAATAGGACCCTGAAAAGCTTGAACAAGTTTGGATATTGGATTGAATATAATTATATAAATGAGTGAACATAAACGAACCGATTACCGAACGTTCACGAACATAAATGAACGAATAAGCTTTTTGTTCGTGTTCATTCATTCAATTAAATGAACATAAAATCTTGTTCACACTCATTCATTTAGTAAGTATATGAATTTTTCACCAAACGATTTTTAAACGACTCGTCGAACATTCTGTTCATTTACACACCTAATTAAAAGAAATGAGAGATTGACGTACATCTCGTTTTTGTACTGTTTTGTTTAAGATTTTTAAGGGATATTTTTGTTCTTGTATTCTATTAAGATTATAAATATTATCTTCCGTTTCTTTTATATGTAAATTTTTTTGTTACCCTCCGTTTCAAGGTTTTGTCCTAATTAATTTGAACCGATTCACATCATATATCTAGTTTTGGTGGATGAGTCTCCCAACGGGAATTTTCTGCATATACACAGACTTAAACTCAAGACTTACTTAAGGGATATCAAATTGTTTACTACTTGAACCAACCCTTTAATCGTTTCTTTACTATATTGGTGTTATTTTTAAACTCTTAAGTTACATTAATATTTTTAAACCCTTAAGTTACATTAATAATGACGTGAGTATATAAGGGTAAATTATTAATTTTGGTCTATTTAGTATTTAAACTTTTTTTTTTAAATCATATCTAAAATTTAGTTTTTTATTTTATTTTAGTACCATCATTCAAAATTTAACGTTAAGTTTTGAAGGAAAAAAAGTTAAAATTTTAGGTACTAAAACGGGCCATAGCCAATAGTTTAGGTACTAAACACATTAAGTTTTTAACAATTGGTACTAAAATGTAACAAAAATTAAATGTTAGATATGGTCTTGAAAAAAAATTAAAAGTTTAGGTATTAAAATGGATCAAAACTGATAGTTTAGGTACTAAATGCAAATTTACCCATATATATATCATAATTATACACCTCTGGAGAAGTGAATGCCAAAAATGATCAAATCATAATAAAGGATTAAATCCATAAAAAATGCATCCTACAAGGATCTTTTACAAAATTTAACCCTTAGATATATATATATATATATATATAACAGCTGGCTTTTACAAATTGCAACATCCAAAATCTCCAATTCTGTTTTTTTTTTTTCGTGTGCATCCTACAAGGATCTTTTACAAGCTTGCTTGTTGTATTTACAGTGCAATAACTGCTGCATCTAGCCTTGCATCTGGACTGGTAAGTTCTCTGTTTTCATCTTTGATTGTGCCTGGTTGAAATTCAATTCTTTTAGGACGAATTGAATGGATTTAAGTAATAGTTCTTTGTAGGACAAGGAAGAGCCAAATAAGTTAGTTTTATGTACTTCCTGTTTTGATCAATCAACAATGCTTGTTGGTGTTTGAAATTAAGACCTGTAGTTAACATCTAGAAGATTGCAATGCACTTTGAGCATGATTGGAGATTCAATCTTGGTGCTCACATCTGGTCATAGTAGTGCTTAAGAGAGTAATTTGGTTTGACATGTACTTTCCCTTGTTTCTGAACAGAACAGCAGCATGTTCAAACTAATTTTAAAGCAAGCTTTGCTGGAATTTCTATTGTGTTGTCCTTTCACGATGAAGATCTTGATCATTCGTGTGTTCTAATACATGCCAGTTCCAACATTCATGTTCTTCTGCCACTGTTTTCCTCATCTACTGGAGATCGTTCACCAGACGTATTATGTGAGTTGGTTTCTACCAATTCTACACTCAGAGACAAGGGTGATATGGTCAAAATTATGTTGTTTACAACCTCTGGGGTCACCTACTGCCAGTGTACTGTGAGGTCTAGTTCTTCTGGTGGTAGTTTTTCGGGGCGGACATCTTTTTCCCTGAAACTGCCACCTCTTACTTTTTGGTTTGGCTTCTCCTTGCTAAAGATGTTATCAGATCTCTTGAAGGAAGTTGTAGGAGTTCCTACAAGAAGTGTGAGTCATCTCATTCTCACGTGAAAAGAAGTTCTAGCACTTGCATTACAAACTTTGCTTCTGCAGAAACTTTGCGAGGTAATATATCAATCTCCAATGCAAGAATAATTCTGTGTTTCCCTTTTAAGAGTGATGAAGATGATGGTGGATACCCTTCATGGGATCAATTCATTGTTCTTGATATTTCTTCGCCTTCACCATCAAAGAGTGGAATGCAAGACAATAGACCACATCTTGATGGAAGTCTGCAGAAACAATTAGCCTCATCCGGCACACGTTCTTTGCACCTGAACTTCGGTAATCTTTGTTTGTACGCGGTCATATCAGCAGATAAAGACGGTAGTGGAATTGATTATGGCAGTATGCAGAGGCATAAATTTTCTTCTCAAAAGATTCTTTCTGTTGGCAACAGGACTGGGCATCTTTCTTTCATTAGTGTCTTTTGGCAGGAGGGTCCTGTGACCAGCCCTTGGATAGCAGAGAAAGCCAAGTTCTTATCTACGCTAGAAGAAAGGAGGAGTGGAAATAAATCCATGGGGAAAGGTTATGAATTTGCCACTGTTACTACTGTTACCACAGGGACCAACTACGTGAACTGCATGGTAGTTTCCATTGAACTTGTGCATTACAAATATGTTGTTTTTTATATTGAAGTTCTAATTAGTCCTCAAGTCCCTGTACTCTTGGGACTTTTGAAATTAGTTCTTCTATTGTTGTTTAAGGATGTTGCGACTCATTTTGTTGGACCGATTGATAGTAGTTTTTTCTACTTATAATCCTTAACTCTGTTTTAAACTTAAAAATGTAATTTATAAAACTATTAATTAATTTTCCTTAATTTGAATATGGAAAATGATTTTTGAAACATCTTTAGTATTAGAATGTCATATCCAAATTTAATGAAAATACTTCGATATATATCAAGTTTTTTTTTATTAATTTAAGGGTGATTATAAGGTAGTATCGGACTCTTAATCTATTTAACAATGAATGCTTGAACATCTCCTGACATATAATGTGCTCGAACCCGGGACCTCTAGGGATAACAATCATTCCTTTAAATCAAATAAGTAGGGCGATTAAATTTAGAAAATTAAAAGCCAAAAGAAAAGAAAATCCGAAAATTGAAAATTATAGAAACAAACGAATAGAATACATGGATGGAAAGCGAAGATCCCTAAAATCAGACATTTATACATGACAGAGGATGTAGGAAGAAGAAACACACAAGCAAAGTGAATAGCTACCTTAAAATTTGAATGTAAACTCCCTTTATATTGTACCCTATACAGAGTTAGCCAAATACCCCAGTTAACTTGGTCTCTCTAACTTCAGTGGTACTCGATACGGGTACTGAATCGGATTTTAACAAATTAGAGGGACTAACTTCTCAATTTTTATAAAGTAGAGGGATGGATTCGTAGAAGATAAAGTGTAGTGTAATCTCACCCTATGTGTTGCTGATAAGATGTTCATCATGGAGAAACATAGGCATACCACCCTTCTCTTCAACTACTTTCTCAAGCACATGTTCATTTCTATCCTTTTTCTTGGACACCACGTTAGTCCTTTTCAGCCCCAACCGCTCTTTCCACCGCCCCGGACCCTTTTGCAGGCTCGGGAACGAGCCGTCGACATCGTCTTCTACTAGCAGTGTGTCTCTCAGAGTCAGCTTTCTTCCATGGTCAGTACCTTTCAAGGGCACTAACATACCCTTGAAGAAGATCTCATCTGCAGGTATCATGGAGTAGTTGTTCACCGAGAATTCAAAGTCTAACGACACCGGAGCTTCGCGGTAGTTGCTCTCGAACTTGATCCCTACATGAGGATCTGCAAAATCATTGGAGAAAGAAATCCTTGGGTCCATTGTTGAACAACAAAACACATCTGCCTGCTGTTCACTGTTGAACATCTTCAGGCATTGCCTCTTTACTAATATATCTTCACAAAACAATATATATATATATATATATATATATATAATGAAAAGTTGCTGTTTCATTGGGTTAGAATCCACATGGAGATGTTTGATTTTATATTCGGCTCTTCGGGGACATCTCATGTTACTTAGATTTGTCATGTAATGAGATTTATAAGATAATGTGGATTAAAATAAAAATCTCTTTTTAACTTTGTAATTAATTAGGGTAAATTACGTGTTTAGTACTTAAACTATCAGTTTTGGTTCGTTTTAGTACTTAAATTTACATTTTTTAAATCCTACCTAAAGTTTAGTTTTTGTTTCATTTTAGTACCACGTTAAAAAATTAATGTTAAGTTTTGAAAATTTTGAAATTTTAGGTACTCAAACGGATTAAAACTGATAATTTAGGTACTAAACGCCTTAAGTTTTTAAAGGCGGGTACTAAAATGAAATGAAAACTAAACGTTAGATATGATTTTAAGAAAATTGAAAGTTTAGGTACTAAAACATATCAAAACTGATAATTTAGATACTAAATGTATAGTTTATCCATTAATTTAACAATGGTTTCAATTATCCCTAAATAATATATTAAGGGATCTAATTGCAATTATCCCTAAATATATAAATTATATTTCAATTTTTTCGAGTCAAATATAATTCACCTGTCGAGTTCGGGTTCCATGCCCATCCCTAGTCGGGAGAGTATTTTGAGACACATCGAATTTTGATATATATCAAATTTTTGGGATTGTTATATATATTTTTATTTGTATTTTTTATATGATCTCTACATTTATAATAGATTATTATTTTTCTCATCTATGACGACATACAAAATTAAACCACGTTAAATTTCGTCTCTTACACTGTTTTATTTTATGTTGATTACGCTTTAATTATTTTTCACTACGAAATTCCTAACGAAACAATATTGTGAGACAATTACTACCTTCATTGTCAACTACCCCCATCCTAGAAGGAAGAGGAAGAACAAGCAATGATTTACCTACATGTTTGTACTTTTGGTTATGTTTTGTATGGTGAGTTTCCCAAATCCCCATGTTAGGGTTCCTATATTTTAACATTATGTTTTGCCATTTCCAACCATCTATGAGTTCCAAGTCTTCTTATTGCTCCATGTGAGCCTTAGCTGGTAAAGATTTAAGTAGAAATAAAGTTCCTCAACTCTTACCTATACAACAAAACCATAATGCATACACAAAACATGCAAAAGGGTTTAATTTATTCATCTATTTGACCATCGATAATTTCCCCCCTCACCTATTGACCTTTCACATGGTTCTTCCTTCTCATCTCAATGGGTTCCTTTTGAGGTTTAATTATGCCCACGTCCATATACTCTTTAGAATTTTTGATATTGAGTCCTACTTTCAATTTCAAAGTGTTTTGGGGTCGAAAACCGATTTTAAAGACATGAATGACACTAAACGGATAACTTTAGAAAAAAAAAACTCGTCTGAAAAGCACTTTTCAACCCAAGCGTATAGGCTAAATATTTCAGCTTTTGTTAAGTAAAGTCAGAGGTTTAAATTTTGGTATTGTAAATGGAGTAGATTGGGTTGGGAGGATTTCCTCTATAATGAGCCTCTGAAGTATCTGATCCGAATTGTTAGATAAAAAACGTACTAAACTAACCGTTTTTTTACTCGTTTGGTTTAAAAGTTAAAATATAATGAATAAGAGTATTAATAGATATTCGTTAATAATGTTATCGATTGAACTCTTAACTTCTAAATCAGACAAGTAAACAAACTAAAAATTTCTCAAAATTTTAAACAAAAGGGTTAAATTTTAAAAGTGCAAAGAGTACAAGCACCGAGAACAAAATTAAACCTTTTTCGATCGAATCCCTAAACGGGAATTTGACAAGTGTACCATTCTCATGTTTAGGGGTAGTTTGAGGGTCAAGAGGAAAATGACCATCCAGCTCTCTTGGTAGAGCATAAGGTTCTTAACCTTGAGGTCGTTGGATCGAGTCTCATGGAGGGTATTTCATAATTTGAAGGTTTCCTACGGAAGCTGCTCTCAACCTAGTGTTGGGGGCAACCTACTATCTTACCTCTCCCTTATCCCATTACATATGGGAACAAGGGACAACCATTTTTTGGAGGGTCAAGAGGGAATGGATTATATAAAGTGAAGACAATGTGCCAAAGGTGCCCAACTTTTCATGGTCTAATGGAGAAAATGTTGGTCCAAATGGGCAGTTTGTGTCTCATTTAGGTCCCCCATTAGGATAACAACCTTGCCTTTGTTAAATCCTAATCTAAAAGAAGAATCATCTTTATATATATTTTGGGGTTGAAGATGAGGCTCGATTTACAATGTTGGATCTCAAAGAAGAAAACCCAATTCTTTCTTAATTAGGTGCTTTGAATGCAAACTGGACTAGGTTTGGTTCTCTTTGTATTTTTATTTATAACCATGAATCGACACGAGCTTGTTTGTGTTTGATTTTGGGTGAAAACCCATGGAAAAGTAAACCAAGAAGCATGATTTGCCACTAGTTGTTAGGGTTGATGGTTTGAAGGGTAGTTTAGGGCGAGCAAAACTCGTTTCGTTTCGAAAAATCGATTCATTTTGATTCAAATATTTTTCAAATGAAGATTAAAGACAAAATCACTCAAGTGGGGAAGTGGGAAAAAAATCACAACTAGAGAGAATCGAATTTTAATTTTTTTTTTAAATAGAGTTGCATCTACAATGAAAAGGAGAAGACATATGAATCAGACGGCATTTTCATGAAGACGCATGGAAGACTCGACGTCTTCCTCAAACAAACACATTAAAAAATGTCATGTCTTCCATGCGTCTTCCACTGAAAACGTCGAGTCTACTTATTGTATGAAAATGACAAAAGTAGAGTTTATTTTTGTTAGAATTCTCTTTCTCGAGTCCATGGAACATGTTTACAAGTTCCAGTATAGTCCACTCGAACAAGAATGGGCAAAATATCAAACTTTTGAAACAAAATGTCCAACAATAATATCAATTCGGCCCTGAAGCCCAATATGGTCATCAATGTCCATGTCATAAAGGTGGAGGTGAATATTCGATTGAGTTGAATTAAATTCTCTCTCTTATCCTTTTCTTAAGAAACAATTTGAAAGACGTGTCGAACTTAGAACATAGAAGATTTAAGGCTAAACTACATGTTTAGGAACTAAATTATGGCTTTTGTTTCGTTTTGGTATATAAACTCTATTTTTTTTTAAAAAAAACATATGTAATATTCAGTTTAGGTTTCATTTTGATACTCGATCATTAAAATTTTATCGATAAAGTTGATGTGTTATCATAAGGCAATGTCATGTCATCATTCAAAAAAATAAATTAAAAAATATCACGTCAGCAATTCTAATAATTTTTTAACAGCGAAGTATTAAATTAAAACTCAAACTAAACATAAAGTATGGTTTTGAAAAAAGATATAAAGTTCGAGACCAAAATAAAATATAAGTAATAATTTAGTATCAAAGTGTAGTTTATCCAAGATTTAATTTTGTTCATTTTGATAACAAGTAAACACTCATGTTCATATCAAACCCTAATAAGTAGGGATGTAAATGAGACGAGACATAACGTGAGTTACTTGAGAACGACTTGGTCAAAGCTTGATAAATACTCGACTTGAATGGGCTGGACTCGAGTTCTTAACGAGATAAAACGAGTTACTTGATACTCAACTCGAAAGGCTCTCGAGCAACTTGAAAATATAATATATTGAGATTTTAATTTAAATAAATTATTAATAATATTAACATATATGTGTTTATTTTTAAAAAAAATACATTTTAAGATTTTTTTGTATTTAAGGTTCAAGCTCGAGTTTGAGGCTTCAATCGAGTTAAGAATTTTTTTTTCATTTCAAACTTTTACGAGTTTCAATTCATGTTTCCCAGTCTGAGTTGAGCTTAAAACTTTTAGGCTCGCGAATCTTAGAACAGAGTTGAACTCTATTTTAAAATTTTTGAATCAAATCGAGTTCAATAATCCTCGAACTCAACTCATTAAGTCAAAGATAATCTGGAATAATTCGGAAAAATCGAGAATGAACACGACATTAAAAGACACTACCACAAGCACTTGATTAATGGAAAGCCACGAACCATTAATGGATAAATTTGGTCGTCAGTTATGTTTCCGTTTAAGTTAAATTACTTGATCCTCATGCTAATTAAGATTAGCAATTCTAATAAAGTCTTGAAAGAGAAGATCACGTGACACGTAATCATATTCGATGTTTATACGTAAATTCAAATAATTTTACAAGCATGCAAATAAATATGGGGTTGAACACGATTTTGATCGTACGATGAACTTATATAGTCATGATGTTGATGGTGCCATGTGAATATAGGTACAGCTGTGGCACTATGAATGATTGGCTAGGTGATGATAATGTGATACCATGTTCATACATGCGTGTCATCGCCATGTTTATAGTCACGGAAAGCAGGGATGGACCTGGACAGGTCAGGTGGGGCAGTTAAAGATGATAATTTGATTTGAAATTGATAGATTTTGACCCGACACAATACGATAGAGTCGAATTTTAAAAAAATAAATCAAGCTCGGGTTGGGTCGAGTTAAGATTGAGGGATGGAACTTATGATCCAACACGATTCATGGATAATAATGTAATTTTTATAAAATTTATTATTTTTTAATTAAGTCCTTATTTTATACAGGGTCGGGTCGAGTCGGGTCGGATTTGTACTCTAAAAATTCAAGTTGGAGTCGGATGGAGGATATATATTTCGGGTCGAGTCGGGTTCGAGTGAAGGATACATATTTTTCGGGTCGGGTTAGGTTGACCAAAATCCTGACCCAGCTCGACCCGTTGCCATCCCTAGGGTTGGTCACCCCCTTTAAAAATTTTAAATACATAAAATTATCATATATTTTAGATTTTCTTAAGTATTCTCTTTTGAAATTTTGTTTTCGTCCCCAATATTTTATAA